GTTAACTTTGCTCAGAAGTTGCTGTTCACAGAAATTCAACGGTGGCCCGAAGCAGGAAGCCTCCCCTCAGGCCGAGAACACTGCTCACCACGTAAACCCTCCTCTGCCACGCTACACGCGAGGCTCTATCTGTGAGCGTGGCACCAGCACGCCGGAGCTGAAGGAAATAAGCAAGCACAAAGATTTCTCTACTCATGTTCCTAATTATCCCTAAAGTTACTACAATGGAAAGAATTTTTAAATTTGGTTATTTACTTGCCCCCATTTATAATGCATGTTTACTTTTAGCACATTATTCAGTTTGGACATGGAAAACAAAACAGTCAGCTTCAGTTTTGTGTTCTCATGTGTTAGCCCAAGGCTGTTGTACTTGGCTTGTAAAGGCTTTATGGAAATGTTTAAATTTAAACAAAAAGACTGTTTTCATTTCCAATTAAAAAAATAATAAAATATTTCTAGTAGGTTTTGTGAACTCTTTAAAAATGATGAAACCAAGCTACGCTTGCTGCCCTCAGCTGCAGATCTAAGGTATCTGATGGCATCCTCCTAAATTTTCATTATCCTGACTCAACTAAACCACTGAAAAGGAATGCAACTTAGAAAAATGCACATTTTATTTATGAATACTTTGTAGTCTTAAACACAGTGTCCAGTTAATGAAATATCACTTTCTTCAGGGATAAGAGACGCTCATAAAAGGGAGGGAATCTATTATTTACTGTGAACCTTGCCTGCAGAAAAAATTGATTGCATCTTTCTTTAATGAGAACTGGGACAAGAGAGGTGAATTTTGTCACCTGAGGATTATTTTGAAGTGATCACATATGAATTTGTGTACGGGCTGGAAGGTATCTAGCCCTTCCCAGGTGGCCCTGTTACCTGGTGGGCAACATGCTCCTCTTCTAGACTGGGACATACAATAGCAGCGTGTCTTTGTACCTGGTTTCAAGTTCAGTAACCCACTAAGAATACTGCAGTCCAAAAGAGTAACGAGCTTAAACAGACACCTTAGATGCAAATTTGCAATAACAATCAGGAATGGTATCCTTCTCTACGGGCAGCACTAAGCTCCTTATTTAGGGAGGCCTCTGGACTGAGGGGTGGGACACATTAGAAATCTGAAATCCAACAAGAATCCAGCCCACTGAATCCAATAAGAATCATTCCGTCCACTTCAGTTTAAGACTGACCAGAAATCGTTAAAAGCAAATACCTTTCCAGCAGGTATATGTCCAGGCCACCAAGCAATAGCTGGCTCTCTCATGCCTCCTTCAAAGGTGGTTTGTTTACCACACAGAAAAGGACCATTGCTTCCACCTAGAGAAAGACGAGAAGCCACAGAACCTGTGATAATGCCAATATTATTTCAAGAGACACCGTCAAGAAGGGAATTTTTAGACTAATTTTAAATTAATTTTGATTTCTGCCTGAATCCTTCTTCCAATAACAACTCCAGAGTTATTTTATTCAAATATTTCTTTATGATCAAATGTTAGAAGTGTCTTTTCAGCACAGCGAGAAACTGTTAAACACAACCTGCTACTAACAGAATAAAGAGAGAAGGAAGAAAAAAAGAAAACAGAAGACTGCTGGTGTTTCTTGCTCTTGAGGGTGTTAACTGTTGTTTGTAACTAAAGGAAATCTGATGCTTTCAGAGAGAAACAGCTTTTTTTTTGATAGCCCTTTTAAAATATGAGAACAGTATTAGCTGCAGATATGCAAATAAGCAAAATAACTATACATTCCCTGAATGTTCACTCTCAGAAATGACCAGTGATTTGCAGGAATATGCTGCGCTTTTAACTAAGCCTCACAGCTGAGCTTACTGAGAAACAAACAGGGAGGTCCCACCACTGATTCCAGGTCACTCAAAGGCAAACATTTGCTCAGCTGAAGCCTGAAGGCTGAACTGAGAGGCTCAGCTGAAATGAGAACTCCGAATACTCCTGGATTTGTGGTCCAATAACCACTACACAGTCTGCCTCCAAACAGAAAGGAGTTGGCTATAAAATCAATTTGCAATTACTCCATTTGAGAGAAACAATCATTTAAAAAAAAAACTCATCACGAAGAAAAAGTATTTGCATATTTGCGTATTTTTCACAATAGCTAACAAAAGCGAGACCCTTGAACGCTTCTTAATTACTCAGCAAGCTCAAATAGACATTGAGCAGATGGAGAGAGTAAAAACACAGCTAACAATAGCTAACAAAAGCGAGACCCTTGAGTCTAAGGGTCTCTACGTTTGGACCTAAACAAATTAAAAATATTCACCTATTCACAGTGCAGCACCAAGTGGAAATGCAAGCAGATGAACAGCATACTGGGTTAGGCCAAAGGTCTACTGGACACCTAAGGACACCTTATCCAACAGTGAGATGACTTTAAAACTGAATAATTTGAACTTTGAGGCTTCTCTTAGCTGCAGAGGGAACAAAGGGAAAACCTCAGCTGTCTTTGAGACATGGAGACTGACACGTTGACTTCGTGGCCCCAGTCCAGGTTTGTTCATCTGTGACTCACCTTGTTTAGGAGCTGAAATGAGAGCAGCCCCATTATCGGAGGTGAAAAACACAAACGTGTTCTCACTGATACCCAGCTTCTGAAGATGCTTCAGGATTTTCCCAATGCTATCATCGATTTCTCGTACAGCATCACCATACCTGAGACAGATGGAGATGCAAAACATTAAGGCAGCAGAAGAGGAAGAGCACTGCAACGAGCCACAATGCTTTTAGTGGACACAAGTTTTTACCTGTGCTTAAGAGAGAAATAATTCTCTTATGCATCAGTAAGGTAATGAAGTTTTCCAGTGTCACTGCAAAAACTCATGTTTCTTGCAGAGAGCAACTTCTCTTGGATATTAAGAATCAGAGTTTGTTCAGATCCAAGCCACTCTTGGACAGAGACAAGCAACTGAGATAAATTTAAGTACAGCGTTTTCAAATATAGGCAAAGGCACTTCGTCATAGGCTTGAAGCTAATAACATCATTTTGTTTATAGATGTCAGTTTGAAACTGCAGTCTCAGAAGCAAGGCCCATAAAAATCTACACAGTTACTCTTTGCATCCTGTCAACTGCATTTTTCATGCATGCTTTTCTGCCTGCTGCTCTGATTTATACACTTTTAAAACAGAGACTAATCATACAAAAGCCTTCCAAAAATCATCTGTGCCACATTCAGCACTTCATCACTCACATTGCCAGCAAACAAGCCTAGACTCCACTTCTAGAACATGTTTTAGTCACATGAGCTTCATTTTAGGTTATAGCAAAAGTATTAAAGAACAATCCAAGCAAAGTTCTCTCTAAATAATATATGGTCATGTATTTTAGCAACACAAAAACTTCTGAGAAGGGATCCACATAGCTGGATCTAATATTCATAGTTTGTTTTCCTGTTTCTACAGCATGAGGTATTAATCACCAAAAACGAGAAAAAAAGAAAAATAAAAGACTTACAGTCCTCTCTGACTAGTACCCAGGAAATGTTTGGAGGCATAAACAGGAGCGTGGGTAGCATCAATTGCCCAATATAAAAAGAATGGCTGCTGGCTGGCCTGCTGCCTGCTAATAAAATCGAGAGCTTCCTGTAAATAACAATAAAAATGAATTTAACAGAATCCTCCTCTGCCATGTAAATCATTCCATGAAAAGAACAAAAAAGTCACTGTGGGTTAAAAAAAAAAGTATTAAACAAGACAGTACCTGCAGGTAGATCTGAGTCAAGTTGGCTTCCCCTGTCTTCAGATCAATACTGAAATCTTCATAATATCTTAAGATAAAATGAATCAGAGAGAAAAAAAAAGTATTGAGGAATATACAGCACAAAAATGTTTTTTTCCTCGTTACACACATAAGTCACTGTTACTATTCAGTCGAAGGGCAGAATCATAATTTAGGTAACCAATCAATTCTCTTTAGACACTAAAAATAATTTTATTCTTAAAGAAGAAAGCAGTGAAATGATCAGATCCAATTTAATGAGGAGTATAAAATTTGGATGAACCTGAGCCACCAGTTTTTCACTGGGAACAGATTAGTAGGCAAAACTGATTGAATACTGATACCAGTGAAGGCAGCAGCCCAAAAATTGGATTTAATCACCACTGTTATAATAGAGGCAGTACACTTAAAAATCATTTGATGCTATTTTTTGTATACAGAGCTGTTTGATATGTAGTTAAGTTTTCAGAAGTACACAAATGATTTTGGTGAGATAATGCAAACTTGGAATCAGAAGCCAGGCTGCTGTGAAAATGCTTGAAAAGCTGAGGCATCTTGAGACACCAATTAGGCAAAGAGCAGAAGGGGAGGGAAGGCCTCGGGAGAGTAAGAGGAGATGGTAACAGGCTGAGAACTGAACGGGCAAGAATGGTAGAGGCTGCAAACCCACAGTCTGCGAAAGACAAAAGGGTATCACACACAGGGAGAGCTCTTTGAGCTGGGAATGAAACCAGTCTCCAAGAGCTGGGCTGAAATCAGTGCAAGAAGCCTTCAAGGCACAAGGGAGCGAGCAAACGTCTCCAGGAGGTAGCCCAGAGCAGACCCGATCCCTCCATGGTCCGCAGGCCATCGAAAGGAACTGGCAGGCAAGCAACTAAATTACCTGCCGACCATCTCCCAGTCCCTATACACAGGAATATTGGGGACTTCTTTGTTATTATAAGGTCCAAAATGGCAGTTAGGGGATCCAAACCATTCATCAAACCCGTGCTTCAGGGGGTGGAACTGGGGCCTGTGACCCAGATGCCTAGGAACAAAAGACATAGATAAGTTCAAGCTTTACTGCATAGAAGCAAATAATAATCTCATCAGAATGGCATGCAAGAAACAAAATTTGCCTGGGAAGAAAACCTTCAAGCATTTTAATCAAATAAATAGCTGCAGACCAATGTCTTCAGCTTTTTATACTTGTTGTGAACGCATCCATGCACTCTTTTCCCAGCTTGCATATATATCTTTTTTTATTCTGCTGTCCAGTCTTAATTTTCCATTAATTCCTTTTATTGGTGTCTTCTCTTGTGCTGTCTCAGTGGTCCGTTCTGATGGGCTACACTGCCCAAAGCCATTGCAGAGGCATATACCATTGCCCTTATGGATTCTGATCGATGTGACAGTGACAAGTCACTTCTATACAAACACACGGAAATGTACCCTTATATTTGCATTCACTTTATGGATTTTCCATGCTGCCAAAATGGTACAAGGGGACCAAATGTAAATGAGTTCTTTACTTGTACATGTGAACCCAAACACATTTAGATACTCCCAATGAAAGCTCCATTCTAGTATACTTCTTAAAAAGATTTCTGTCTTTAACTTCAAGAGGAAGCTCCTTTCTGATCTCCAACTACTGGACTGAAAATTCTCCACTTCCTCATTTATAAGTATCTTGAGTATAAAGAATGCTCAAGTTCTCCCTGTCTCTACAGGACATCTTTTAGTTAAATGTCTATTTATCATTCTAGGTTCAAATCACAAATCTACACCTATAACCTGCATATTTTATGCCAGCACCCTCCAAACGCTTTCTGAACATAAGGAACATAAAATACATTACCTGAACTAAACTGATCCATGGTGTCATTTTGAGCTTTTCCAAAATGAGTTATAACAGAAAATAACCATCATTGCAGCTATGATCAAATCTCGGTGATGTAACTAAAACTGCACGTCTCACGTGCAGGAGTCTCCCTTCCTTATTTATATATATAGCAATATAAAGCTATTCCTTGCTGCTTCCACAATAATAGGGAACATGAAAAAATATTTTTCTTTAAGAAAGCACTAGGAGAACTTAAAAGGAGAAATAGGAGAAACAAATGAGCTACAAATAATTGCTGAAGTGAGGAAGGCAGATTGTTTTCTCTCTTTTGCAATAGAAAAATAGAAGAATATTTAATGAAATGTAACAAATTCTAAAACTGTCACAGAAAATACTTGATTTGCACACATATAGCTAAACTGTCACAAGACACCTTTGAAAAGGGACACTAAAAGCATGCAAAATCTTTTGCTGTAAAGATTTTTTTAAGCTTTAAAACAACTAAAATTCTAAGAGGGAATGGGATGAGACTCCAATTGAACTGCTGCATTCTGCATTTTTCTTAGACCTTTCTAGGAAGCAGGCGATGACCACGAATGCCAGACTCCTACTGTGCAACATCGTTCCCCAGCCCTGTCCAGCACCCCAACTCGAGTGCCCAATGATTGCATTGCACATTCAGATTTAGTCTGCTTCTTGCTAACAGCTGCAGGTTCTTCCAGAGTTGCCATTTTCCAAATAACTGCCTGGAACCAATCTGTATTTGTGTTGTTTATTTCTCCTCCTGGGGTGTGTGAGTTTACATTTATTATCACTGAACTGCAACTTATTGCATTCAGCCCACTGATCTGATTCTTCATGGCCACTCTACTGTTAGGATTTGTGCTAATAAATAATTCACTGTCTTAGGTTAGTTTGCTTCTTTTTCAATTTCAGCAGCACTGGTGTATTCGACCACAATTCAATCACACTTTTCTCTAACTTGTTAATGAAACTGTTAAATAAAATGCATTTCATTACCTTCCTAAAGAGCATCCCCCTTGGTACTACTCCTGTCTGAAGTCTTTTTATTAACAATTACCCTGTTAACCAAGCAGTACTTGTCTGCATTTTGAAGTTGTTATTTATGCATTTATTTATTATAGCACTACCCCAAACTGTGCATTAACTGTTCGGAGATCTCCAGACCTAGCGGGACTCCATTACAGCCCACAAGCTCGTATGAAATTTGAATGTTATAAATACACCAGTTTCAAGTATTGCATTGTTAATTCCACCAACTGCCTGTGTTTGGCCCAAGTACCTTCAGGTTTTGCCCTTCCAGCCTTCACAGGCACTGCTGAGCACAGCTGTTCCTGAAGTTTTTCTGTATCCTCTGCAAAAGTTTACTGTACTCCCACAAAAGTCGATAAAGGCAAAGAATAAAATTCCAGGAAGTATATTCTGGTCAAGTCTATCACTATCCACTCTGACCTTCTATGCCAGGTGAACGGCTATCAACATAGCTCTGGTATCAATTTGATTGTCTTCATGTGTCTGTATCTCTATTTCTATGTGAATACACCTCTACCCCCTCAAAGTTTGCTTAGTTTAGTCTAGTCCATCAAAAGAGCAATATATAGCAGGGGCCAAAAATAAAAAGCGTGCAGGTGATGAAGGCAAGTTCCAAGAGAGCACCTTGGCATATTTTTTTTGATTAAATTAAATTGCGTGGTACATGGAGGAAAGCCCAAAGAGTTGAAGTGTTTATATATACACGAATTATACTGTGTATTCGTGTGTATATATATATATATATACGCACACATAATAATAGCACTCAGTTCTGAAATTAACACAAAGGAAGAGATCTACCACAAATTTTGTAAGATGGACATCTAAGCTTCAAGACATTCTCTCCTCCCAACTCCAGTTGTCCTTCTCCTTCACAATATGTACACTTGAAAACTGAATCTTGAAGCAAAAGATCTCAAAAGTAGCTTACCATTTGCCAATGATCTTATTGGTGTATCCTGCTTTCTTCAGCAACTCTGGAAGCAGTAATTCAGAATCTGGGATTCCTCCTACTATATTCTGTGGTGTGTATGCTGTGGAAAACAAAAATATTCTTTCGGACTCTTACGTATATTAGGGTAAATAACTAATGGCCACTCGATTAGAAGGATTATTTAAGCAGATCAGAAAAGGCAATTAGTTTGATGTTCCAACAATACCACTGTTTAGAAATCTAATTCTCAGAGGCCAGGACATGAAGAGAACACGTTGATTCAGCAAACACATGCCTGAAGCCAAGAGAGATCTCCACCCACCTCCACACCATGCCAACAAACAAAAGGGATTGCTGGAACAGCATGAAGGTGAAGCCCTTGAAAGGGAAGGAGGGAGGTCATAAAGAAAACAAGTGCCTTAAGAATGCAGCGGAGTCACTTGGCTTTTATTCCTGCAAATTTTGCTTGATACTTTCTAAAACAAAGGCATTTGCTGAAATCAAATGATTGATAAGCATGACTAGGTTGCAGCAGCTGAAAGAACCAGTATCACTCACACACTCAGCAGCTTTGTGGCCCTAGAGAATCTAAGATGTGACTTTGGCTAGCAAGGAGATAGCCAAGCATGCTTGAGATAGATGGTGTGAATTAATAGAGCTGCTGATTCTTGCCCAAGCACGTATGGTCTCGCATGCTGCCTGTCACTTTGAACTCAAATGAACACAGGGACACTACGGCTTGAGACTCTTCCTTGGAAGCACCATGGACACAGAGGTACTACAGAAACGCCCTGGCTAACCTAGTTAGGAAACTGGCTGATATAGGCACCTCAGGCTTAACCTGGGATGTTAATGCCTCAAGTGACTTTCACCAGACATCAGCTAGCCCACCCAGAGGGGCCGTATCCCAGCCAACAGAGCAAATGGATTAACACATTTATGTCTCCATTTGAGGATGCTTTCTGCCTTCAGCTTGCTGAGGGGGAAGCAATACACTTCACACTTATTACCAGTAGCTAACTTTGTAATAATCTTCTCATGCCATGCTGAAGGGCCCATAAAGGAAGATCACTGAGCCAAGCCTCTGTTTGAAGCAAAACTTCCTACAAAACACCAAGTAACGAAGGCAAATCCGTAATAAAGCTCCTACCATTCCTGGCATGCGCGTTTGTGGTGTAAAAGCCATTCCTGATCGGGAGTCGGCCCGTCAATAGCGCTGCCCTGGCTGCAAATGACAACAAACAACATTTCACTTTTACAAGCCCACTCTGTTAATATTATGGCATTAAGGACAGCTAAACACACACGAGAACAGGTACAACTCCCCGAGTGAGCCATGGAGATAACCAGGCTCTGATATGCCACCATCAGAGGCTTTTTCCAAGTCACACCTGATTGGAATTTTGCCTTTCTATTGAATTATTTTATCCACAGCTGAAAAGTAATTGCTTCCAGCGGGAAGTGTAGCAGCCATTCTGTATTAGTGCTGATGAATTGAATAGCTGGCATATATATTTAAGAGGAAAATATAATACAGATTGGTTACAGGCCATGGCTAGCTTGTCTGAACAGAAGTCATGTAAGAGTGAACAAAAAGAAGCTATCCATTCTTGATGATAAAAATCTGGGCCTTTAAGCATTTAAGCAGATGCTTAGCTTTAAACATACGCTGAAGTACCACTTGAGTTAGCAGGACTTTGGCATATTTCAAATAAATTTTCTGAGAAAGTACAGTCATTAGCACAATGATTTCCTAAACGAAAGACCAAAAAGAGAGCCCTTTTTTTTTTCTTAATTTATTTTTGTTAATTTTGTTAATTTATTTGGTTAAAAAAAAAAGAAAAAAAGGCAGTAAGGATTAAAAAATAATCTGTATTTCCCAGACTCAAGGGCTTCTTTTGTCCCTTCCCCAAGAACCTAGTAAGCCCCAGGGTCAACAGTAGGACACAACCCACTGTCATTCCTTGCGTGAAAGCCAGCAGAATCAGACAACTTCTTTATTTTTTGTTCAATGTCCCTTCCCCAAGAACCTAGTAAGCCACCAGGGTCAACAGTAGGACACAATCTGCTGTCATTCCTTGCGTGGAAGCCAGCAGAATCAGACAACTTATTTATTTTTTGTTCAGTGGCAATTTAGATTGTCTGTTAACCCC